TTTCTATTTGCCATATATATTTCAACCGTACTGTGATGTTTTACAAAAGTTCTGAACCCTTCTATTCTCATTGTTTCTACAGATTGTAAATTGAAAATAATTTTTTTTGCTAAAAGTATTATTATATTATTGATCGATTGACTATGACTTTTCAGATCACCCAGTAATGCTATCTGCAGGGTTAGCTCCAATCCTTTAGCCAATAATAATTTAAATTGAAAAATTCTAAGTTTTGAATCCGGCGTCGTTTTGCGTATCAGTTCATAAACACTATGCCATGGAATCGGTACGTCACAAATCTCTTCCCAACTATTTTGCAATCTACAGGTAAAAGTCAGTAAATTAGAATATTTTGAAAAACTTGATTTATTTCAGTAATTGCATTCAAAAGGTGTAACTTGTACATTATATTTATTCATTGCACACAGACTGATGCATTCAAATGTTTATTTCATTTAATTTTGATGATTTGAAGTGGCAACAAATGAAAATCCAAAATTCCGTGTGTCACAAAATTAGAATATTGTGTAAGGGTTACATTTTGAAGACACCTGGTGCCACAAAATAATCAGCTGATTAACTCAAAACACCTGCAAAGGGCTTTAAATGGTCTCTCAGTCCAGTTCTGAAGCCTACACAAACATGGGGAAGACTTCAGATTTGACAGCTGTCCAAAAGGCGACCATCGACACATTGCACAAGGAGGGAAAGACACAAAAGGTTATTGCAGAAGAGGCTGGCTGTTCTCAGAGCTCTGTGTCCAAACACATTAATAGAGAGGCAAAGGGAAGGAAAAACTGTGGTCAGAAAAAGTGTACAAGCGATAGGGATCACCGCGCCCTAGTCAAGATTGTGAAAAAAAACCCATTCAAAAATGTGGGGGAGATTCACAAGGAGTGGACAGCTGCTGGAGTCAGGGCTTCAAGATCCACCACCAAGAGACGCTTGAAAGACATGGGTTTCAACTGCCGCATACCTCGTGTCAAGCCACTGTTGACCAAGAAACAGCGCGAAAAGCGTCTCACCTGGGCTAAGGAAAAAAAGAGCTGGACTGCTGCTGAGTGGTCTAAAGTCATGTTTTCTGACGAAAGCAAATTTTGCATTTCCTTTGGAAATCGAGGTCCCAGAGTCTGGAGGAAGACAGGAGAGGCACAGGATCCACGTTGCCTGAAGTCTAGTGTAAAGTTTCCACCATCAGTGATGGTTTGGGGTGCCATGTCATCTGCTGGTGTCGGTCCACTCTGTTTCCTGAGATCCAGGGTCAACGCAGCCGTCTACCAGCAAGTTTTAGAGCACTTCATGCTTCCTGCTGCTGACCTGCTCTATGGAGATGGAGATTTCAGGTTCCAACAGGACTTGGCGCCTGCACACAGCGCAAAATCTACCCGTGCCTGGTTTACGGACCATGGTATTTCTGTTCTAAATTGGCCAGCCAACTCCCCTGACCTTAGCCCCATAGAAAATCTGTGGGGTATTGTGAAAAGGAAGATGCAGAATGCCAGACCCAACAACGCAGAAGAGTTGAAGGCCACTATCAGAGCAACCTGGGCTCTCATAACACCTGAGCAGTGCCAGAAACTCATCGACTCCATGCCACGCCGCATTAATGCAGTAATTGAGGCAAAAGGAGCTCCAACCAAGTATTGAGTATTGTACATGCTCATATTTTTCATTTTCATACTTTTCAGTTGGCCAACATTTCTAAAAAATCCCTTTTTTGTATTAGCCTTAAGTAATATTCTAATTTTGTGACACACGGAATTTTGGATTTTCATTTGTTGCCACTTCAAATCATCAAAATTAAATGAAATAAACATTTGAATGCATCAGTCTGTGTGCAATGAATAAATATAATGTACAAGTTACACCTTTTGAATGCAATTACTGAAATAAATCAAGTTTTTCAAAATATTCTAATTTACTGACTTTTACCTGTATATGGGACGGCTGTCAATCCTTTGGTCCTTAAATGAAACTGGTATACTTTTTTATTTATCACAGTTTTCTTTAACCAATTATGTTCTTTAATGGAGGGCCGACAGACAAGTTCCTTACTTTTTCCCCCTTCCACTTTCCTCTTCCATTTTTGCGGTAACGCTGCAATTGTTTGGTTGTAATTTTGGGTAGAGCAGACATTTCCATATGTTTTTGTTAGCTGCATGTGCGACATAACTCCACCAGTCCTACCTATGATATCATTTACGAAGATTATCCCTTTTTTAAACATTTTTTCAAAAAAATGTTTTATCAATTAGTATATTTGAGTTTAACCACAATATTTGTTACATTATTTGTTCTGTCGTTTCTGGAGAATTAAATTGAAATTGCAACCAACTTTCTATGGGTTGTTTTAGAAATAGTGATATTTGGGAGATGATTGCCTTTTCAAATAACTGAAAGTGAGAGGTTGTAATCTGAATAAAGGGGAAAAGGCCATTCTTGAACATTGGGTAAGACAATCTTACTAATCTGCTAGAGAACCAGTTCGGATTTAAGTATAACTTTTGTATGACTGAAGCTTTTAGTGATAGGTCTAATGCTTTAATATTTAATAATTTCTGTCCTCCGAATTCATATTCATTATATAAATAGGCCCGTTTAATTTAGTCTGGCTTGCCGTTCCAAATAAAATTGAATATTTTTTTCTCATATAATTTAAAAAACTGTTCGCTAGGTGTAGGCAAGACCATAAGCAAATAGGTAAACTGGGATAATACTAAAGAGTTAATCAGGGTGATTTTTCCACAAATTGACAGGTATTTACCTTTCCATGGTAGCAAGATCTTATCTATTTTTGCTAACTTTCTATTAAAATGTATCGGAGTGAGATCATTTATTTCCTTTGGGATATGTATTCCGAGTATATCCACATCACCATCAGACCATGTTATTGGTAAACTACAAGGTAATGTAAAAATTGTATTTTTTTGTGATCCAATACGTAATATAGTACATTTATCAGAATTTGGTTGTAATCCAGAGAGGTCAGAAAATGTATCTAGTTCCTCTATGAGGCTGTGGAGGAATTCAAGTCTGGATTTCTAATCCCTTGATATTATTGTTGGATCTGATTTTAATAGCTAACATTTCGATGGCCATAATAAATAGATATGCCGATAGTGGACAACCTTGTTTCACTCCTCTTGACAGTTTAAAACTTTCTGAGAAATAGCCATTATTTACTATTTTACACCTAGGGTTACTATACATGATTTTAACCCATTTTATAAGAGATTTTCCTAAATGTAAATGCTCCAGGCATTTATATATAAACCCCAGTCGTACTTTATCAAACGCCTTTTCAAAGTCTGCTATGAATAGTAGGCCTGGTTTCCCAGATTTTTCATAGTGTTCTATTGTTTCCAGTACTTGCCTTATATTATCTCCAATGTATCTTCCATGTAAAAAACCTGTCTGATTAGAATGAATAATGTCCGACAATACCTTTTTAGTTCTATGCGCTTTTTTGCATCACAACACTGAAGTGTAAGGGGCCTCCAATTTTTTTAATGGACTTGATCTTTATATTTTCCACTTGTATCCTGTTTCAGTAATAATGAAATCAGACCCTCTTCTTGAGTGTCTGATAATCCACCCTTTACATAGGAGTGGTTAAAACATGCTAATAACGGTCCTCTGAGTATATCAAAAAAGGTTTGATAATTTTGTGCTCCAGGGCCACAATATTGTCAGTGTGACCCCCTCCCCATGGGTTACTGCAGCCAGTGTCACCAGCACTGCCACTACCTGGGTGGGGGTACCCCACCGGAATCCCCACCGGCTAGGTAAAAGGTCGTCAAGGTTCTCATTAGCAGCTTTGATAATTTCCTTGTATATTATGCTCTCCCATCAGGGGGTCTGGTTTTGTAGGACCAACCCTGCCAGGCAGGCTCAGAATCTTAAGGGGGCGGTGCTGCTCAAGTAGGTCTCTGACCGCATTTATTTCTCTGTTTAGGCTGCATATTCACAGCAGGTCCATAAAACAGATGGGGACTTCTCTTTGGTGTATGGGTCGCTCAGGTGGGTGTCTAGGATATAGGGTTGGGGATCGTTCAATCATGATAGGACAATAAAAAAATAGATTAGATGTATACTATATTTAAAAAATGTATATCCCTCATCTGCACAAAATTGAAAGCTCTCTCTCACAACCCCTGCTCACAGACACACGTTGGTTCAGGGGTATGCAACCATTTCCTTTCTCACTCACTTAACGCCACACTTTTCCAAACACAAAAACGCACACCACACCTTCCATCACAATACATCCACACATACCCACATACTGTGCCTTCTATGTCTTCTGTTTGCTATGTTTTCATCTCCACTATGTTGATTGAGTACTTGTGTTCTAATTAGTTGCATTTGAAGATGTATTATTTTGCTTGTTATCTTTTCTTGTAATACCATCTTCTCCCTTTATAAAATACTATAAATACTATGAATGTGCTTTATCATTACAATCCCTACCATGGCTAGTATTGGGTGTTCCATTATTCGACTCCTCTATTAGAACTTTCAGAATAGCCATGGAGTGATCTTTGTGTCACGGAACATTCGGGTTGTCAACATACAGTTTATCGACAACGAGGGCATCTTTCTCAACTAATGGTTAAGACGTTGGTTTCCAGAGCTGGAGACCAGGGTTCGTATCCCACTAGTTACATACACATGCAGGGTAACACCCCTCCACTCCACGACCCAAGTTAACTCACTTCTCTCCCTGCAGCTTGTTGGTCTTCACTATCAGATCCTGGGTCTGCTCCTTGGCTGCCTGTTGAAACACACAGAGAGACCCATTAGTGAGTACAGTTCTCCACAGTCACCTCAGCTGAAAGCAATTAACAAAATACAGGCTACAAATAATGTCTGTGTCAAGGGCCCGGGTAAAAGTAGTTTACTATATAGGGAGCTATTAGAGTCTGTTCTGAAAGAGCTTTACAGAAGCTAGATACCTTCAATCTGTTGGTCATCTCTTCACAACAGGTTTTTTACAGTAGTTAGCTAGATACCTTCAATCTACTGGTCATCTCTCCACAGCAGGTGCTCATGGCCTGGACGTCCTCCTGCACGCTCTCAAGCTCCTAGGAGAAAGCAAAAACATGTCAAACAGACAGTCAGTCAATCAGTCAGTCAGTCAAACAGACAGTCAGTCAATCAATCAAGCCTGCAAAGGTTATCAGGGCTTCTTGCAGAATTGAACAAGCAAGTAGCCATCTAGCTATTTGTATTACACTGTACCAGTGTCGTAGTACTCGAGTCCAGGACTCGGACTGATTTTCATGACTTGTGACTCGACCAATGGTGACTCGGACTAGTGAATTGTATTTGCACTTGAACTGGATATAAAAAAAAAAAGGGGCTTTATGAGCGTGCAGGCTCTATTTTCGGCCCCTGCACCCTACTAAAGGATGTGTGTTTGATCACGCCGACTACTGGAACTGAATCGGCTACCATGATAAACAGAATATTAGCAGCGCTGGGTTCTGTTCTCTAGCAGTGGGAAGGACGCACCACACCCGGACCACACCCGGCACACTCCGCATACGTCAGCTGGTTTACTTGGCTCATCGCGCTCTAGCGACTCCTTGTGGCTGACCTCGGTCGTCAAGTAAATGGTGTTTCCTCCTACACATTGGTGCGGCTGGCTTCCGGGTTAAGCGGGCGGGTGTTAAGAAGCTCGGTTTGGCGGGTCATGTTTCGGAGGACGCATGACTCGACCTTCGCCTCCCGAGCGCGTTGGGGAGTTGCAGCGATGAGACAAGATCGAAATTGGGGAGAAAAAGGGGGTAAAATACACCCAGAAAATGAAACATTTGTCATCTCACTCTAACCTCCCACTTTGCCCACTGCATCCCATAGCCAGTTCTGACAAGTCTCCCTTTAGTTTTCACTCTGCAACAAAAAAACCTACACAAATATCTGTGGGCAATTACAAAAAAGTAACTGAGAGCCAGACTTACCATTCATTTATGTGAGGTAGAACTTGTGAGGTAGTGATGAATAGTAAATTAGTTGGGGGATTTTTATGAGAGCGTGGCAATATACTGCCATCTGGTGGCGACAAGAAACAATTGCATAATAAGACTAGCATAAATTGATGGACTCTTAACCGACTCGTGACTCGACCATTGGTGACTCGACCTTCAGCCATAGGGACTCGTGAGTCGAGCACAGGGGACTTGGGACTTGACTAGAGGTTTAGTGACTAGACTACAACACCGCATTGTACTAGCTAGCTAGCGTGAACTGAAGTGCAATGTAATTATACCTTTTTAAACGCCGCCGGAAATGACACACCAGGTTTAAAAATGGCGGCTAACACAACTTCCGCCCACATGGCAGTTTGGTCGCTAACTTTATTTCGAATTTCAAAAGGTCCATGTAATATCAACTAAATCACGTAATTTGAAGAGATGAAGTCGGATTTAGCTGATTGAAGCACGCACATATTGCTAGCTGATTTCACATATTGCTAGCTGATTTCACATATTGTTAGCTGATTTCACATCATGTATAACAAAGTGCTTTAAAGGCATATGCATTCAGTCCCCTGTAGTCTGAAGTCTAGTTAAACGTTAGCTAGCTAGCTACCTCTTTGACATCTTTAAATATCCTGGCGAACTCTTCGTTGATGTTCAGGCTCCGTCTCTCAATGTCCCCCCGCAGGTTCCGACGGGTCCGAAGACTGTTCTCTGTGAAGAACACCGAGAGAGCCTTCAGAGCCTCCAACATCTCCTACAACACAAGAGGGATGTTATCATTGCGACGTTGGCTAATACTGGATCAGGGATCAGCTAAAGCTGGCAAATAAATGACATGCCGTTTCTATTACTAATGTAGTAGCGCTCGCCAGTTTGTAGTCCTAAAAAACTGAAATGAGTTAGTCATGGTTCGTTGGTCAAAGCCTATGGGGGAAATGAATGGGTTTTTTGGAGGGGTTTTGGATAAACACCGAAGAGATCTTGTTCTATGCGATAATATCAGTCAGTTAACATTACCTTTATGAATTATGAAGCTTATGTTCTTGTTTTGATTACATAAATGCTTAAAAATTCACAAAGTGACGTTAGTTGATGAACAAAACTTATACGATTTTACCATAGACCTTATTTTAGGCGTTTATCCAAAAACAACATTCATTTCCCCGTGGCATAGGCTTTGACCAACGAGCCATGGCGGAGTTAGCCTCCGTTGCTGCTTATAAAAAGACGTCATTACTAATGGTAAAATTATGGTACAATTAGGAATTAAATATAAAATTAAATACAGAAATCAATTAGCTACTAAGGTTAGCTTGCTAGATAGGAGATCTCAAGTGCAATATGCGCTGCTCCTAGCTAGCGTTGAGATTTTACCAGTCATTTGCATCAATGAAACCTGGGAGGACTCGACTTGGTCTTACCTTGTCATTATCTAGCCTGGTCTCCAGAATTTTATTGAGTTTCCTAGACAGTGGGTTATTCTGCTGAGAAGGCGCATTGCCACTATTTTGAACAGTGGTTTCAGTTGACATTTCGACTTTATTCTCTGCCATTAAACAATCCTCTCCACGTCAACCAGGAAGATGTTTGGTGCGTCGGCAATACAAATCCGGGTAGATACATAGACAACAAAGGCAACAACGTTCCGCTTTGTGCAGTACATATTTTATTACTTCCAGTAGTATACTTTATTATTCGATTACAGAGTAACAATGTATGCTGTGTGCATGAACCCCTTACAAATTAAATAATTCATATTGTTTATATAATATGACGTCATAAAGAACCTTATGGTAAACAAAGGAAACACATGGGATTACTTTAATAAATTAGAAAAGACCAACAGAAATAATCTTGTGAGGGTCTGAAAACCCCACAATGACACAGAATAAATACATTGGATAGCTACAGTAAATTACATATATTGCACATTTAGGGGTGTGAGGGCCAAGAAACCTGAGGTGGCAGAACGGAGTGCTCGGGTTGGGGTGTAGGGTTTGATCATAGGCTGAAGGTAGGGAGGGGCAGTACCTTTTGCTGTTCCGTAGGCAAGCGCCATGGTCTTGTAGTGGATGTGAGCTTCGACTGGAAGCCAGTGGAGTGGGCGGAGGAGCGGGGTGACATGAGAGAACTTGGGACGGTTGAAAACCAGGCGGGCTGCAGATTTCTGGATAAGTTGCAGGGGTTTAATGGCACAAGCGAGGAGCCCAGCCAACAGCGAGTTGCAGTAGTCCAGACGGGAGAGGACAAGTGCCTGGATTAGGACCTGCGCCACTTCCTGTATGAGGTGGGGTCGTACTCTACAGATGTTGTAGGAGCGAGTCACTGCTTTGATGTTTGCAGAGAACGACAGGGTGTTGTCCAGGGTCACACCAAGGTTATTTGCGCTCTGGGAGGGCGACACTGGAGTTGTCAACCGTGATGGAGAGGTATTTGAGCGGGCAGGCCTTCCCCGAGAGGAAGAGCAGCTCCGTCTTGTCGAGATTGAGCTTGAGGTTGTGGTCCGACATCCAAGTTGTGATATCTGCCAGGCACGCAGAGATGCATGTTGCCACCTGGGTGTCAGAATGGGGGGGGTAAGGAGAAAAGTAGTTGTGTCATCCGAATAGCAATGATAGGAGAGACCATGTCAGGAAAATAGCTTATCAAGGTGTCAAGGTCATTGAGGAACTCTCCAAGGGCACCCGGTGGGCGATAGATGACAGATTGAGTGGACAAGTGACAGTGACAGCATTGAATTCAAATGAGCAGATGGACAGGTTAGAGAGTGAGAAAATAGAAAATCTCCACTTAGGAGAAATGAGTAGCCCTGTGCCACCACCACGACGACCAGATGCTCTCGGACTATGAGAGAAAACACAGTCAGATGAAGAAAGAGATCAACTGGAGTAGCAGTGTTCTCTGGGGTGATCCATGTCTCCGTCAGGGACAAAAAGTCAAGGGACTGAAGGGAAGCATAGGCTGAGATGAACTCTGCATTCTTGACCGCAGATCGGCAGTTCCAAACGCTGCAAGAGACCCGGAATTCCATATGGGTTGTGCGCGCAGGGTGCACTAAATTAGAAGGATTGTATGCAAATGTAGCCCAGTTCTGATTTAGAAATAAAACGTATTGGGAAACTAACGTTGCATTATAATGCCATTCAATTCCACAATCTCAAGTTTCTCAAGTGTTTGTGGGTGTGTGTGAGAGAGTTGGAGAGAGAGGGGGGAGGGGGGAAGAGAGAGAGAGAGAGAGAGAGAGAGAGAGAGAGAGAGAGAGAGAGAGAGAGAGAGAGAGAGAGAGAGAGAGAGAGAGAGAGAGAGAGAGAGAGAGAGAGATTATACAAGTGGACTATAGACAGAGAGGAAGAGACAAAGCGAGAGGGTTTATTACTCCGCCCAAAATCTCTAAAAGGAATTTTAGTATGGAGGTCGAATTTGACCAACAAAAAATGGTTAGGTTGTTACGAATATAAGTGGACACACATGGCATTTCAGCAACTTTGAAAAAAACTACTTAATATATATGCCTGTTGTTCACATGCGTATCTGCCCTCTCATTGGCTAGAATGGTCCCACCTGATCTCCCCTCCTCCCACCTGTCCTTCATCTTTGAGGACATGTTTTTCAAATTGTTAGAGCGGTCACTTGACTATCTTGTCAATATAATAGATCATCTTTGGTATATAGAGCAATATAAATTAGTAATGGCATCTTTATAGGCACTAACAGAGACTAACTCTGCTATGGCTCGTTGACCAAAGCCTATGGGGAAATTAATTAACTTTTTGTAGGCTTTTTGGATAAATGCCGAAAATAAGGTCTGTACTAAACACAGGCTTGGGAGATTTTATACGTTTTGTTCTATGAGATAATCTTCATCAGCTAACATTCACTTTTTGTGATTTTTTTAAGCATTTAGACTAATCAAAACAAGTAAAAAGCTAATGATGCGCTAACATGTAAAAAATTAAAACTACACCTCAGGTCGCATGCCTTTGATGTCTAGCTAAAAGGCTTAGTTTACCTTATCAGACGGACCCCAAAGTCTCCTATGGACAACATCATTCGGGAACCTATAAAACAAACACCATCCCGCTATAGAGATATGGTTGCAGCCTGGAGCAAAACAATATAACGTTACAATCCTTTGCGTTTTATTCTAGCTGGTAAGCAGACGTTTTTAAGCATTTATGTCATTTTAAAAACACAAAAGGCTTCATAATTCATAAAGGTCATGTTAACTCACTGATATTATCTCATAGAACAAACCATATAAGATCTCATAAGCCTGTGTTAACCTGAGACCTTATTTTAGGCGTTTATTCCAAAAACCATATTCTTTCCCCATTCATTTTGCATATAGGTATGAACGGCTGAATTAACCCGAGGTAAATAATTTCCGGTTTTTAGAACTACATGCTGGCGAGCTCTATGGCCAACGAACTATGGTAGAAAATGCTAACTCATTTCCGGTTTTTAGAAGTACACGCTGGCAAGCTCTATTCCGAGCCGCACGGCCGCCTCTGGATGGAGGGTTGTGTGATTGATGCTCCCCTCTGGAGCGTGTTTCACAGACTCTCGGCTCACGCCTCCACAAGCTCACAACACTCGGAATGTGGTTACGCGGTTGTCTCCAGCTCCAACTCCAGCCTTTCTCCTTCTCTGCTCACAGCAAGAGAAAATATTTCGGTATTGCCAACTCCTACATTGCTCCTCAACGCTGAAAGTTACAGGTTTTTATTTATTTTTGCCGATACCATTGCCTATTTTGGGGATATTTTTTAATTTGTTTCATTTTTGGTCGATTTGTAAAGTTAGTTTCAGCTTTCGGGTTTTTGGCTTTCTACGCGAATGGGAATTAAGACCAGAGGACTAATCTAACAACCAAGTCTTTCATCATGTAGGCTAAGTTGTCTTTTTATGTGTTACTTTGTCGTGTATTTGGAAAAATTCTTAGATTTGCAGATTGTGTATTCTTTACCCGAGTAGAGTTCAGCTTTGTCACACAGGCTTGTCCCCGTCCCCCACTCTTCACGTCCTGCACGGGCTTCTCTGTGCATACCACCATACGGACTTCGGAGTAGCTGGCCATGCTTGATAAATAGCGTATCAAACGTATTTTAATAATCTACTAGGCTAGTGCATAACACATTAGTGTGCGTAAAAATGTAAGGGACAGTCATCGCCTATTCATGATTATTACGGTTTCTTCACCAGAGCATCATCTAACCAGCATTGCAAACCAATAGGCTACACTACACTGGAGACTGGAAACCTAGATTAATAGGCTATTGTGAATGTATTATGGGAGGAATATATATTTTTTTTTAAAAAGATGAATCCCCTTTGTGTTACATTCTCAATTGTCTTTGATGCTCTTGCGCTCAGTCCTGCGTGCTCTTTCTCTCTGCTTGGTAGAATTCTTCCCATGCAGCAGCTGAAGTTGTCTGTGAGAATGTATTTTAATAAAGTGAGATGCATTGCATTTTTGTAATAGCATATATGATTTAGCCTCTTTTTCATATTTATTTGGAACAGTGTTTGCTCTTGTGAATGATGCCTTCACTTGCTAGTCAGAGCTAGAAAACTCGGACATTTCCGACTTGCTAACTCAAATCAAATTTTATTTTTCACATACTTCGTTAACAACACGTGTAGACTAACAGTTAAATGCTTACTAATGGGCCCTTCCCAAAAATGCAGAGAGAAAAAAAGAAATTATAGACAAATAATAGCACAACGAATAAATACACAATGATTAACGACAACTTGGCTATATACACAGGGTACCAGTACCGAGTTGATGTGCAGCGGTACGAGGTAATTGAGGTAGATATGTACATATAAACTCACCAAAAAAAGAAACGTCCTCTCACTGTCAACTGCATTTATTTTCAGCAAAATTAACATGTGTAAATATTTCGTATTAACATAAGATTAAACAACTGAGACATAAACTGAAGTTCCACAGACATGTGACTAACAGAAATGGAATAATGTGTCCCTGAACAAAGGGAGGGGAGGGGAGGGGAGGGGGGGGGGGGGGGGGGGGGTCAAAAGTAACAGTCAGTATCTGGTGTGGCCACCAGCTGCATTAAGTACTGCAGTGCATCTCCTCCTCATGGACTGCACCAGATTTGCCAGTTCTTGCTGTGAGATGTTACTCCACTCTTCCACCAAGGCACCTGCAAGTTCTCTGACATTTCTGGGGGGAATGGCCCTAGCCCTCACCCTCCGATCCAACAGGTCCCAGACGTGCTCAATGGGATTGAGATCCGGGCTCTTCTCTGGCCATGGCAGAACACTGACATTCCTGTCTTGCAGGAAATCAAGCACAGAACGAGCAGTATGGCTGGTAGCATTGTCATGCTGGAGGGTCATGTCAGGATGAGCCTACAGGAAGGGTACCACATGAGGGAGGAGGATGTCTTCCCTGTAACGCACAGCGTTGAGATTGCCTGCAATGACAAGAAGCTCAGTCCGATGATGCTGTGACACATCGCCCCAGACCATGACGGACCCTCCACCTCCAAATCGATCACGCTCCAGAGTACAGGCCTCGGTGTAA